ATGTATTATTTGTTTCTTCTTGTTAAAGAATGTGAAGTTCACACCACCGTATATCAGATTAACACCTTGCAGTGTGTCAAACCTCACTAGATATTTGTCACAGTCCCAATTAAAATTTACCCTGGCAGGAATACAGTCTCATTATGATAGAAGAAGGATTTTAATTTGGTCTAGGCGAAATGAAAATCTTAGTTCTGCCCAGGCAAGATTTAAAATCCGCCTGGATTTTAATTTGGACTGTGACATACGTTCCATCTTTGAAGTTTAGCTGTTGGATACTAGATGTGCCACTAAAAACAGTCGTAGTCTTTGCAATACAGGCTACAAGCTTGAGTTGACTCTTGGTACAGGATTGGCTCAGCGAAACTTTACATGTTCTGCAGAAGACTTTAATTGTTGTAGATTTGTTTGTTTGTCTTTTTGCACTAATAGTCAGCTATCATTGACTTTATACCACCTGGTCAGTATCAAATGACAGAGTTAGCAGCTAGACTGTGAACATAATGGACAACTGTCAGTGACCTGTCTTCATGCTTCTGTCCTTTCAAAACTTGTCTTTAACTTTTTATTGCTGTCTGTATGTTTGTTTTTTGACAATTCAGTCTTTTGGGGCCAATCAGTGCAAAAATAGCTCCATGAGAAGTCAAAGGTCACTTTTCAAGGGTCGAAGGTCGATTTATGGTATTTGGTGCAGATAAGTAACCATGTTGGGGTTTCCATTGGTGATGTTACATTTGACCTTGGATAATATTTTAAGGTTAAGCTTTGCCGCTTTGCCTTTAAAGAAAAACATTGCTGTGAATTGGATATTTCACTTGTCTGTATTGCTATAATATTTTGATTTATTGTATATCACAGTACTATAATAATCTTATTGCCCTTATCATTTGTGTGACACATTCCAACTGCTGTTTTCTTTGAGATCAAATTGCAATTAGAGGAATATTTACAGTCCACTGGGATCAAGACTTTGCCAAAATTGCAACTTAACTATGGTCACAAATATTTTGATCAGTTCTGATGTGCCTGCTGTTTTCCATTTGGTAAATCAGCATCTTTCCAGCAAAAACATGGCAGCAGTATCATTTTCGTCAATCTGGATGAAGCACTTCTCTTCATTCCCATTGAATCGGCCAACCGTTTGCCAGAAGATGGCAGCAGAGCAAAGAGAGAGGGATATGTGTTCAACATTGTGTTAACACAAAGGATATACCGAGGTTGGAAGGCTCGAAGGCCACATCAGTGTGACAGGGATAGGCTGGTACATACAAATACAATGCTTCATCTTCAACTGCCTAAAAATTTCAAGCACAGTAAGCAGCTTCAGACAAAGGTAAGTAACATGTACTTTATCACAGCAGTCTATGCGGTAATTAAACATAAAACTGTATGTTCACCACAGTATCGGCTTTTTTTAAATTTATTTTTTTTTACATTTAATCTAAATTAAAGGGAATAGTTCTGCTTTCAATACATTAAACCGTTTCCCCTTGCAACACGAAAACTGAGTGTTTGTTGATTGTTGCTGTTAAAAGTGTCACATTTAATTAGACTCCTTGCATTACAACAAACCAAAAGCCGGAAACGTTTTTTCTGCATATTACCCAAACAGAGCTGAGTGATCCTGCTTTTTAGTACTACGAAGAAATAGTTGAACTATGAACAACATTTTTAAAAGGTAAATGGATCATTAATCACCTCTTTGATGCTCTGCTTTTCATTTGCAGTTAAGTATAAGTTATTTATTGTAAACAAAGTTCATTTTAATAGGAAATGTCGGTGGCGTCATTTGCTTCAGTTTCTTGTTTTAAATGAGCACTTCAGAATTTATTTGATTTGATCTGATTGGAAAATGTCAATATTCGCCCTCATTTCCAGGACCAGAACCTGATATCACTGCTGTCGTTCAAGATTCAGTCCATCCAGATGACCCAGTGACTCTGCAGTGTTTAGTCCTCTCCATCTCTGGAAAACAAATCATGTCCAGAAGAACACAGGTGTTCATTTGCAGAGCTGGATTACATGAATCTCATCCCAGTTTAATAAATGTTCTCAGTAACAGTACTGATGAATGTGAGAGGAGTCTCGCTCTTCACAGAAATGCTTCTACAGCTTCTCCCAGGACACTCCTCTGATGCTGGGACTCATTATTGTGCAGTGGCCTCATGTGGACAGATATTTTTTGGAAATGGGGCAAAGCCATATGAACAGGTAGCATTACATCTAAACAAACACCTTGACTGAAAGCTATTTTTTCTGTCTTATTTATAATTCAGCAGTTAACATTTGGCCATTTGATGATTGTCTGAAGACCACTAAATTTCATTTTCTACTGTAAGGGTCGCTATCCTTGTTCGAAGTGTTTGTTGTGGTTATTCTTTAAATGGTAATTAAACTTACATAATTCATCACTCTTTGAAATAATATCCAGTATGTGACTTAAGTGGATTAGCATTGGTGCAGTGTGTTTAACCAGTTGTTTGATAGATCTATTTCCTATACTGTATTCCAGAGTCCCCACACTCAAATGCTGTAGGAGTCTGAGTTATCTGCAAAACCAGCAGGTATGGGGTTTCTAGAATACAGGATGGCACAAATGTTTCTGTAAATGCATTTACACCCCTGAGGGTATGAGAAACTGGTATGGGGCAATTTCCTGTTTTGCCTAATTGGCACTCTCGCCTTGTAGGTACTTGTGAAAAATATGAAGCCAAACGGGTGTTGTGACTGAAGATCAGTGTGTTTTCATGACTTGTGACTTTGTATCAATGTTATCGTCAGACAAGACTAAAGAGACACCTCAATGGCACGTCTAAACTATAGGTTATTTAAAAATGTGTTACTTTTTAACGTATGTATATGAACTGAAGTCAGAAAAGTTAAAATGTGGAAAATTTGTTAAAAATAGAGTGATGTATCATGTTTTGTTAGCATCTCATAATACCAGAGCAGAACTTGAATATAGGAGTTAGGCCAAACTTAAAAGTCAGTGCTCTGGCTATGTTAATGTGCTACCTTCTTACTGTTGACCAGATTGTTGCTGTTGTTGTTTTTTTACTCAAATTAGAAAAATATATTAAAAGAATCTTTTGATAAGACAAAACTACGATCTCTGATTCTGAAGCCTGAAACTATGACTACTTCACAGGGTTCAGAGTTCATCTTTAGCGTTGTTAAGCAGTTGAGCCACCCAGACGCATTGTGCAAGACAAGAAATACACATTACATCGTCAACCGACAACACTTGTATTTATGCACTAATTTCTAATTGTATGAAGACTACAGGAGTTTTTGTAGTCTATTGGGCTCAAAGCTGCCCCAAATCAAAAACAAATTCAAATAGAATTAGTCCAAAAAAAGACTTCAATTCATTTGAATGAATATGTTGTAAAATTGCTTTCTAAATGAAACATCACACCAACTGGTTTCCACCACATGGTGGCAGCAACACAAAGGGAAAGAGAGAAGGGAGGTGTTGGTGTGTGTGATGTTTTGTTACAGTAATGAAGAGGATGCAACACCATCAACACTCAGGTACCACATCATGGCTTTTTTGTAGTCAGTCAAATTTGGAGATATAAGATAACAATTTAAATAGATCTGAATTGTTTAATTTTGGATTAACCTTGTTTCACCGGTATTTTTTATTTATTTATTTTTTTGGACAGATTACAGATGCTAAACCTTGGTGTATTAATATTCTGTGTTTTGATGCCATTGGATATTCCTGCCTTTGTGCTGTGGTGCAAATATGTTTGTGTTTAATGCAAAATGTACAAAAAAGGTCTTCACTGGAGTTTTGTGGAACAGTCCATGTTTCTATAACTGTCTACAGCCTCATTATTTTAGCACATGTAGAGAAACTATCACGTAACTTCATGATGTCACTTCATAGACTTAACTGCTCTTGGTCATATTGTCCTCACATAGACATCCTGGTCAAGAATAGCAGCAAACCTTTATATCAATAAAAGTAAAAATGACATCACACAGGAAAAATGTCATTTAATGTCTAATATTTCATGTGATGATCTCTATTTGCTCCTTGATTGGTTTGGAGGACATATATGTCAAAGCTAAGAGCATAATTTTAGTATTTAAATGATTTAGAAGCAATTTCAGAATTTTTTTTGCTATCCATGTTAATGTTACATTACAGCCATTGTAAAAAAAGAACATGTATCCTTTTCTGCTGCAATAAGGCAACTGATTGAGTGTTTGTGTTGGTAGTTTCTTCACAGGAAATTTTGTTCAAAAGAAATCGGTCATGTTAATTATAGCACTGAGTCACTGGTTTACATGACACACTGTCAAATTTTTCTTGCTGTCATGTATATGATGTTTGGAAAGATGTGGTTTAGATTATTTCCACTTTCATGGTACACTTAAAACTCAACAGACCAATGAGATCATTTTAAAATTGTTCCCACCCTTTTCATTGTTTCCTCCCATTAGACAGACACTTTAAGATTAATCATACTGCAGCGTGATCTCAATTCACTTGCATTAACCAGAACATGCTGATCATATTTTGCGTGTCTCTTGTGTTCACAATTGGGCGTAAGTATACAGACAGATTTCACTTCACATTTCTTAGGTTTCAATTATTGCTGGCTTGTTACAGTAACTTTTGTCTAAATATGTATTCAAATTGTTTTTTAGGTTGCACAGACGGCCTGAGCTTTGTAACGAAGACTGTTGGCGTTGGACAAGATGTGACTCTAACATGTAGCCGTAACTCTACAGCAGGAGGAATTTTATTTTGGTTCAGGCTTGTTGCTGGAAACTTGCCTGAGGTTTTGGGAACAACTTACTTTTATGGTCATGCCACATCTAATGAGACTCCTCGCATCACAGCAAAGCTAGGGCCTGGAACGTTTGTTCTGCGTATTACCCAAACAAAGCGGAGCGACACTGCTCTTTACTACTGTGAAAAAATAGCTGAACGACGAAAATCATCTTCAAATGTTACTTTTCTTACAGTCAAAGGTAAATGGATCAATATTTGCCTTTTTAATGCTCAGTTTTTGATTTGCTGAACTTCATATTTGCAAACTAATTGTCATGGGTAATTTTGGTGGCATCCTTTGTTCATAATTTCAAATGAGCACTTAAGTACCGTATTGACCCGAATATAGGACGACCCTGATTATAAGACGACTCCGTCTTTCCAGGACCAATTTTTAGAGAAAAAAAAAAGACTGATGACCCAAATTTA